GAGGGTGTTGTTGAGCTGTGTGGAACTCCTGTTAAGTGCCTGATAGACACAGGATCAGTGGTGTCTTTGATGAGTCTACACAGCTTCAACCAAATCAACTACCGGAAGAGACCACAACTGAAACCAGCCAAAGATGTATTGGTCCAAGCAGATGGTTCTCCCATAGCAGTCTATGGCTCATGTTCTATGGAGGTGGAGATCGATGGAAGGAAGACTCCCTTAGAGATGGTGATTGCCGAAATCAACCAGGATGGAATCCTAGGGACAGACTACATGTTGGCTAGTAAAGCAGTGATCCATTATGGCTCTTTACAGATGACCTTCAATGACTCCAACAGCAAAGGAATCCAGAGCTGTAGTAGCTCCCAAGAAGAAAAGTCAAAGAAGCCAGGAAGCTTTGTTACTCCCTTCCAGAACAGAAGGAAGAGACGAAGAAGAAAGCAGAAGAAAAGGGAGGTTCCAACAAATGATGAGGCTGGAGATACCATGAGAATCCAGAAGAAGAGCAAAGTTGACTCTCCTGAAGTGAAGAGCTGTGATGCCTCTAAAAGACCTGATGTACCTACAATCCTTACTGAGGGAAGGTCAAGTAGGGGGGCAAGACGTTCGAGTGGTAGCGAGTTGACAAGAGAAAAGCAAGCGTACAAACCCAGAGGGTCATCAAGTGATCAGCCAGAAGAAAGTCTACCCTACAGAGCTAGACCAATACATCAAAGAAGACAACCAGCGTGTGTTGTAAGAGACAAGATGAACTGGAGAGAAGTTGACTCCTCGCCGAAGTTCAAGAACACAGAGCAGGGTGAACTGAGGAGCCATGGAGACTCATCCCAGTGTGTGCAAGAGGAGCATTGACAGAGGAGCCCAAATGGCTCCTTCCCTAAATGTGACAATCTTAAGTTAAGATAGTTAGTTGAATGAGCAATTACTGATCATGATCATGTGATTTTTTTGAGAGTATATAAGTGTAGATAGAGTGTTGATTGAGCGAGTATTGATGATAATGCTGTAACTTTTTTAGAGGAGATAAGTTAGCTCTTTACTTGTATTTATTTTTGTAAGAGGTGCTCGAGCTCTCTATGTATTTTTGTAGAAGTTAAGTTTATATTGTGTGATCGTGGGCGATCAAGCTTAGTAGGGGGGAGTGTGGGAATTTTTAATTCCCCCTGAGTAGTACTAGGGCCTGTGAAACGTTTATTTTACAGGATTTTATGTTATTTCATGTTTATTTAATGTTCCGTCCCTGTAATTTGGATGTTTACTTGATCAGCAAGCTGGGTTGGAATAAATTTGCATAATTAGGCACCCAGCAACAGAGCTCAACCAATCAGATGGTTTCATTTGAATTTACCGCCAACTTAAATTGTATTTTCCCATGATGCAACCTGAGATGTCTGGACTTTAGCGTGAGATCGTGACCTGTAAATCAGAGTAAACCAAGACTTTGCAGAGGAAGGACCTCGTTAATTTGTATCGTTTATGTGGGAGCGTGATCGATTTAAATTGAGAACTATATTAGACAATCTACAGGTTATTTGGATTATTTGCTGTCATTATTTGCTGCAGTTTTGCATTCGTCTGTGACTGTGCGAGATACAAGAAGATAACAGCCAGTTTTGGGTGAGTTGGCAATTTGATTATTGAGTTTGACGCCATATTGCTGTCCGCCATTTTGATTTCTTCTTCCCAGAATTCCTAGCGGTCGGCCATCTTTATTTTTACGGAAGTGACGTCATTTTAAGAAGTAATTCCTCCTCCGAGTAATTAAGGCTCTTGTCTAATCTCAGTTTGATTGATATTCGAGAGTCGTATCTGCTTTGAGGACTCACTGCTCCGAGTGATTACTCCTCCAATTATTTAAGTGTTATATCTCCTCCGAGTTATATTTGGTCCGAGTAGTCACAGCTCTGTCTAATCTCAGTTGTGATTGATATTCGAGAGTTGTATCTGCTCCGAGGATTGCCAACTCCGAGTGATTACTCCTCCATCTAGTTGAGAGCCATACCTACTCCGAGGACTCACTGCTCCGAGTGCTTACTCCTCCATCTATTCTAGAGTGGAATCTGCTCCGAGGGTTCAGGATACAACTCAGTCTAATCTCAGTTTAATGATCGATATTCGTGAGTTGCTCCTTCTCCTCCTCCGAGTTATTGATGATCCGAAATTGATACAAGTTGCTGAACTTGACGTACCCTCCGAGGTGATTTGACTCCTCCAGAAGTTAGATACTGTGGTTACACTACCGGAACCAAAGTATTTCTGTGTTGCAAGGTTTACTCTCATTGGAGCCAAGGTTACACTCCCGGAACTGAGGTACTCCACGATCGAGAAGTGGCAGCTCTGGTCTAATCTCACCACTTGATTGACATTCCAGAGTTGTTATTTCTCTGTAGAAGTTGTAGTGGTCTCTCCTGTGAAGTGGCGACTCCCCTAGCAGAAGACACTCCCGGAGCCTGGACCCCTTCCACGAGACAGTTTTATAGAGACGAGAAGACTCCTGGAGTGGAAGGTACTCCAATAGCTAGGGTCTTGTACAAAAGAAGAGGTTTCTCCTGTGAAGTGGCGACTCCACGAGCAGAAGATACTCCCGGAGCCTGGACCCCTTCCACGAGACAGTTTTATAGAGACGAGAAGACTCCTGGAGTGGAAGGTACTCCAATAGCTAGGGTCTTGTACAAGAGAAGAGGTTTCTCCTGTGAAGTGGCGACTCCCCGAGCAGAAGATACTCCAGGAGCCTGGACCCCTTCCACGAGACAGTTTTATAGAGACAAAATAACTCCTTGAGCCGAGGTTACACTTCCAGAACCAAAACTCCTGGAGCCCTGATTCCTCCGAGGTGAGACGACTCTGAGGGACAGCGCAGTGAAGATTATTTGGAGCATTTATAACTTGGGTCTAATCTCAGTTTTGATTGACATTCCTGAGTTATTCCTCCTCCATAGATATCACATTGAAGCCATGATATAGACGAGACGATACCTAGAGCAGAAGAAACTCCCCCGAGGTTAAATTCCAGTTTAGAGGTGAAGAAAGCTGCAGAGGAGCAGATCCTCCTCAGGCCAATTTACCAGTTGGAGCAGAAGGACCTCCTAGAGGGTGAAGATCATAGGAGCAGATCCTCCTCCTCTTACAATTATTCAAGAAGGAACAATTACAAAGACATTCAAGCTCTATATAGACATTTTGAATTTATTTGTATTATAATTTTACATTGGAATAGATTATAAAATCCCTGTATACCATTGTTATATTGCCATCTTTGAAAGGTAACTGCCGTACCACCAAACCAGGTCGGCACCCGTGTATAACACCTCCAAGATCCCTTATATCGTCCCTGGCCTTTCCTGAAGTTTGCATACAGGGTACTCCTGGGAATCGGCCCGGCGCGACAATATTGAAAGATGAAGTTCCATTATCTGAAGCTATTTTTCATCCAGTTTTGTCATGAAAACATGAAAGTATGGCATAATACAGAGTCATATGAGAAAAACTTTCTTGTACTCGTACCGAGACCCTATCTGTTGCAAGACTTACGCCTGGCGTAACTGTTACCATGTTATTCAGTGTTTTTAAGTAGCGCAAGGATCCTTCCATGACCATGGTAGTGTAGTTGTGAAATTAATATACATTTTTATTTATCAATGAACATGAGTACCATGTACATGTATATTAGTCTTGATTTACATATTTAAGGTAGTTAAACACAAAGAAAATTGTCATTACAGTGTTATCTTGCTACTTTAATACAACCACGGTCATTAGAGGCCTTGCAAGTATTGTCACGGTCATATTAGGCTTTAACATTTCCACGGTCATGACAGGCTTTAACATTGCCATGGTCATGAAGGCTTTGCTATCATTATGACAGTCATACCCGACTTTAACATTACCACGGTCATGTTAGGCCTTGCAAGCATTGTCACGGTCATATCAGGCTCTAACATTACCATGGTCATGACAGGCCTTGCAATATAATAATATAGCATTGTCATGGTCATATCAGGCTTTACATTACCACAGTCATGACTGGTCTAACAACCATATTCAAGGTCATATCAGGATTTAAAATACCGCGGTTATGACAGGCCTTGCAAGCATTATCACTGTCATATCTCTGACATTATCACCTTCATTACAGGCTATCAAAAGATGTTCACGGTAATATAAGTCTTTAACATTACCAATGTCATATCATCAGGCTTAACCTTACCACGGTCATGACAGGCCTTGCAATATAATACAGCATTGTCACGGTTATACCAGGCTTACCCGATAACACTACCACGGTCATGGCAGGATCCTTGCGCTACTTAAAAACACTGAATAACATGGTGACGGTTACGCCAGGCGTAAGTCTTGCAATAGATAGCATGTGCTCGTACCTTTACAAAATCGTCCATTCTTGACTCACTTTGATAACATTTCTTTATCTTGTCTGCTACTCGATAAAGAAGAATTATCACAGCTCATCAAGAATGGACAACCTTGCACAGGTACTCATATAAGAACTACTCCAGAATATTTGCCATTCTGGCCAGTCACATTCCAGATTTTCGAGACATACTCAGTTTTGCCCCGACTTTTCAAATTACTCTGTTGAACAACAACTTGGTAAGAATAATAATAATGAAACACACACTACGTACCACATTGCTAACACATTGTCGAAACATACTCAGACAGCCAGTATTATAGGGAGACCTATCGATTTCACATGCAGTCACACTTCAATGGTTTCCTGAAAGTCAAATGGGCGATAATATAGACGATTTTTATAACACTAAAAGACAAGAAAAGCGTCGAATAGGATTATAATTCTGAGGTGTTACGTATTGAACAATAGCAAAACCTACCTTTTGGACGATAGTTTATAATCGCAAAGTGCATTTAATTCCCCCAAAATAAGAAAAGAAAGACAATGAATTTTTCAATTAACATTGACCTAGTTCCAAAATGGTCTACTCCAGCTAAAAACATTACCAAAAAAGTCTTCTCGAAATAAAATGGCCGGATGTGCAAAACAGCTGATTAGAGCTCCTAAAATCAACGTTTTGAACGTTATACCAGCAATACCAAATCACATAAATTCGCAGAAATGCAGTCAAAATCGATGTTTGTCGACTCAGTAAGTTTTTGCCTAAGGATTTTAGGAACAAGTGAAGATTTGAATGCACTAAAGTCAAGGACAAAAGTACAGTTTTTCAAACTTTCATAATCATCTATTCATTCTGAATCTGATGTATTCAAAATAAATGAAATGACCAAATTATTGATTAGAATGCCTGTGATTACGATAGGCCTAATTGACATGGGCTGTGAAAATGGAGGTGGCTACCTTGTCTTATTCAAGACAATGTTTGAATGACATGCTTGACTGCACTGGCTGGTATGGTTGGCTCTATGGTGTTGTGGTCAAGAAGCCTGTCTGCAAATGCCAAGATCCTGGGTTCAATCCATAGATTTGGTTGCTTGACTAATGCACCAGAGATCCAATTACTAGAGTGCTGCTAACTCGATAAAAGGCCGGCACTGGCTAGAACTGTCTATGGTTGTAGCCAGGATAAAGATTCATGTCCTATCAGATTAATACGCGGATCTGTTTCTACCTTCCAAAGTATCAGGTTACAAAGGGCAGGTTACAAGTTCATATGGGGAAATTCGACCCGTACAAAATAGAATAAGATGGGGAAATTCAACCCCTAAAATAATATCTTATCGACAACAGGCAAATCGCCTAACAGCTATAGTAACCGATGATGATGATGATGATGATCCAGAGATTTATATACTTGTCATGTTGACAATGTGTGGTTGTGATTCATGATCATATCAGTTACCTTTTACTTATAGAAGTACTGCACCAAAAAACAAAGGCAAATATGACATTGCCATTGTTGGAGGTGGGATTGTTGGCATGGCAACTGCCCGACAACTGCTACTAAATCATCCAGAATTAAAGCTTGTTACCCTAGAGAAAGAAGACAGAATAGGTTAGTATACTGTTATATCTGGCACTGATTGTATGTGGTTTCTATTTTCTTGCACCTGGTTAAGCTGAATGCTAAAGAGTGCATGTACAGTTACAAAGAATAATACTTAACATACACTAAATAACAACATAAATGCATAAATGTAAGTTCCTTCTAGTTTAAACATGGGCATTCAATAGATTTTTGAAAGCCCTTGGTTTAAACTAGATATAAATTGTTATTTCAAGCCGCCCACCAGAGTGGGCACAACAGTGGTGTGATACATGCTGGCATCTACTATACCCCTGGCTCTCTCAAGGCAAAGCTCTGTGTCTCTGGACTCAAAATGGCTTATGAATACTGTGCTAAAAACAACATTCCTTATAAAAAATGTGGAAAGGTACATGTATTTAAATATTAATTTTCTGCAATACTCATTCATCATTAAAAGGTACCGTTCAGCCATCTGTGTTCAGCGTATGATCAAGGTGTTGTGAATTTGCAAAAAGGCAGTATGTCACAACTCGTATTCACTCTAGTCTATAGATACTCATGGTTCTATTTCATTAGCGATGTCTCTACTCATGATACTCATGCTTTTACTCTAATTAGTACTAATGACTACTAATTACTCATGTCTCTACTCATGTACTCACATTTCTGTTTGTAGCTGGTAGTTGCCACCAATGAAGAAGAAAACAGTCGTTTAGGAGGTTTATTTGAACGAGGGCTCCAGAATGAGGTGCCTGATCTCAAGCTAATTGGTCCAGATGAGATTAAAAAAATAGAACCCTTTTGCAAAGTAAGTTATGTAATAATACTGGAGATAATGGGGTTCGTGTAGTTCGACATAGACTCATAGTGTTTAAACATTTGAAACATTTGAAAAACATCTGATTTAATAACTCTGATGAATGAATGAAAGTTTGAGGGTAATATTGATTATGCACAGCATTTTTAAGTCACCATTAAGAAGTGATAACATTGATTGGTGTCTGTAACAAATTGTTACTTTTTTTCATCTCCAGGGATTACGTGCAATACACTCACCAATAACTGGTATAGTTGACTGGGGAGAGGTGACTGTTTCATATGGTACAAACTTCAAGAAGCTAGGTGGTGAAATTATGACAAACTTTGAAGTGTCAGATTTCAAAATGTCTCAGTCAGACCCAGATTATCCAGTGACAGTTATTGGAGCTCAACCTGTAAGTTGTGTACATTTCATATATGAAACATTTCTTATAATTTTATAATAATGAGTATCACAACCTGTAGTGGAAGGGAATTTGAATATTCAAATATTTTCCTCAAAAATTCTCAACATTGTCATTTTAACTAGGATACTGGTAGATGCTTATTTATGTTTTCCTTCTGAACCAGAAAATACCATGTAAATATGTGCTTATGTCTTTCAGAACCAGGAAATACAGTGTAAATATGTGCTTACGTGTGGGGGACTCCAGGCAGATAGAATAGCTGCGAAATCTGGTTGCAACCCAGAACCCAAAATTCTGCCATTCCGTGGAGATTACTTACTCCTCAAACCAGAAGCTGCCAAAATGATAAATGGAAACATATATCCAGTAAGTTAGCTTGTCTTAACTGCAAGATATTTGTTTGTTATTGCTAAGATAAGATTCAGCATTATTTTCTAAATCAGTTTGACATTATCTAGTATGAGTATATATTGCTTTATTACACCATATGTTTATTGCTTGAATTTGTAAGTGATTCCACCACTGATAATGGTTGATTTCATATTTCATGTGAGTATCATTTCTTAGATCAAAACTGACTGCTGCATGTTTATTAAACGACCTGTTTATTTTGCATTCTAGGTGCCAAATCCTAATTTCCCTTTCCTTGGTATCCATTTTACACCAAGGATGAATGGAGATGTCTGGTTAGGTCCCAATGCTGTCCTGGCCTTTAAGAGGGAGGGCTACAAACTGCTGGACTTCAACGCAAGAGACTTTGTTGATGCTGTAAGCTTTAGGTAGGACATTAACTCTTTTGACCGGGACGTCAACTAACTCATCCTATCGGTAAGTGCGGGACGTCGACTATAATCGACTTTTATACACGTACTACGCTAATAAGTTTTTCGTTGCATTTATAGATGTCAGGCTATGTCTAACCTTGTGGATTATGTTTGTACAGGACGAAAAAGAGGAGGGAAAGCCCCAGAGTTTCAAGATGACAGACATAATTACCTCTCTTGCTTACCACCTTCGTTCGTTCGAATTTTCATCGGCTAGTTATCAAATACTACACTTCGATGGGATGTTATAATTGATATAGGCAAATTCCGTACACCTTTCTTTATCTTGATGTGAAATGAGAAGATATGATATTGGTTAACACGCCAGAAATGAACATAATATTATTCGAAGCGTATTTTGAAAATTTTGAAACCGCCATTGATGACGTCATTTGTTTGTCGACTTTTGACCAATCAGCGACCGTGTCATCTCAATACAGATTTACATTATAAGCGTATGTCATCTTTGAACCCTGGTGTTTCTCCCCCTCTGAGGACGAAACATAAATGTAACAGGAAGTTAATGATATTTCGTCACTTTTTCATAGAATAAACCAATGTTTTTTCTAATATTATTTGAAATAAAGAAAAGGGGATTAAAAATGGCTACTGTTAGAGCTCGAACTCTCATATGTATTAGGGCTACTGAGGACAATTTTGATCAAATATTCAATGATTTGGACAGTAAAAACGATACTTGATAAAACGAGGTAAAAATTATCAGTGTTATGATTTAATTTGGATTTTTGGATGGTATTATTTTATTTTTATTATCACATAGAATATTATTTAATTTTATTCAATTTTTCTCATTGATATCATGATCAATGATGTAATTGCTAATCTATACACTAGAATTTGTTTGTTATGATGGTTTGAAATGTTAGAACAATATATTGACAGCATGTACTGAAAATTTCATCAACATCTGATTGCTAGATAAAAAGTTATGACTGTTTGAATAAAATCGGTCAAAAGTAGATAATTTTCAGGAAATTAATTACCGACCTTAGCAATGTAGCAAATTTGCTAATTACCAGTCGAAAGAGTTAAATACTATGAGGTTATATAATGGTTCTTTCTGTATATCGTGTTTATACTCGAGTGAGTATATGGTATATTCACAAGTGAGCGTAGCGAACAAGTAAATATATTATATGCTCACGAGAGTATAAAATACACAATATACAGAATGAACCATTATATAATCTTATTATGCCACTCTAAGTTCAATTACAGTTGATTTGAACACAATCATAACAATTAATAACAAGGCACAGGACGTGAACGAGATCACACCATCAAATAGGCAGACACTATGAACCAGGAAAACTGTTCTCCTATTATGTTAACAAATTTCAAGAACAAGAAAACAAGATGGCCGCCCAAAAGTTAATCAGCTCTAGTACTTGATATCCTCTATCATTTGTGTAAATTTGAAGGAAATCCGATGAGCGCTTTTCCTGAAATGGCGATGACAAGATTTTTCGAAAAACCTTCAAAATGGCCACCAGAAAACAAGATGGCCGCCAAAAAGTTAATCAGCTCTAGTACTAGATATCCTCTATCTTGTGTGTAAATTTGAAGGAAATCCGATGAGCGGATTTTCTAAAATGGCGATGACAAGATTTTTCGAAAAAATCTTCAAAAAGGCTGCCAGAAAACAAGATGGCCGCCCAAAAGTTAATCAGCTCTAGTACTTGATATCCTCTATCATTTGTGTAAATTTGAAGGAAATCCGATGAGCGCTTTTCCTGAAATGGCGATGACAAGATTTTTCGAAAAACCTTCAAAATGGCCACCAGAAAACAAGATGGCCGCCAAAAAGTTAATCAGCTCTAGTACTAGATATCCTCTATCATGTGTGTAAATTTGATCAAAAAGGCTGCCAGAAAACAAGATGGCCGCCCAAAAGTTAATCAGCTCTAGTACTTGATATCCTCTATCATTTGTGTAAATTTGAAGGAAATCTGATGAGCGGTTTTCCTGAAATGGCGATGACAAGATTTTTCGAAAAAATCTTCAAAAAGGCTGCCAGAAAACAAGATGGCCGCCAAAAAGTTAATCAGCTCTAGTACTTGATATCCTCTATCATTTGTGTAAATTTGAAGGAAATCCGATGAGCGGTTTTCCTGAAATGGCGATGACAAGATTTTTCGAAAAACCTTCAAAATGGCTACCAGAAAACAAGATGGCCACCCAAAAGTTAATCAGCTCTACTACTTGATATCCTCTATCATTTGTGTAAATTTGAAGGAAATCTGATGAGCGGATTTTCTGAAATGGCGATGACAAGATTTTTCGAAAAATCTTCAAAATGGCTGCCAGAAAACAAGATGGTCACCCAAAAGTTAATCAGCTCTAGTACTTGATATCCTCTATCATTTGTGTAAATTTGAAGGAAATCCGATGAGCGGTTTTCCTGAAATGGCGATGACAAGATTTTTCGAAAAACCTTCAAAATGGCCGCCAGAAAACAAGATGGCCACCCAAAAGTTAATCAGCTCTAGTACTTCATATGCTCTATCATCTCTGCGAATTTGGAGAAAATCTGATGAGCAGTTTTCCTTAAACGGCGATGACAAAAAGCGGGACGATCACGATCACGACCACGATCACGACCACGATCACGACCACGATCACGACCAGTATGACGACTATATCCCACCGATGGTGTGATAAAAACCATAAAAATATCCCATAGCCAACTCAATAATACTGATGTTGATCTCGAACCATTTATGACGTGGCTTGATTCTAGCAAATCATGCCGGAACCATTTATGGCGTCACTTGATTCTAGGAAATCATGAAAGTTTTATTTTTATTCATTAGTTCCCAGAATGCACTTCTACAGTGGTATACGCTGGAGTGTATACGGAGGAGTTGCATACGATGACGATATACCACTCTCCACTGTATATCATTGTTATAGACCCATGTTATACAACTGTAATTGGACTTAGAGTGGTATAATGATATATACAAGTAGTTCATCTACTGAAGATGATTACTTAGAAATGAAGCTTGATTTGTATACAAAATAAGTAAACGCCCATGGGCCTATTCGCGAGAAACTCCAGTGTATATGTAGTTATCAGACATTGCTTAGATCCAAATACATAGCTGAGAAATGTTTGTTGTATTAAACTAAACTGTTGATTAATAATTATTTACATGTATTTATCCATCCTTGCATTCAGAGGTCTTCAGAAACTGGTGATGCGTAATATGGGATATGCCTTCGGGGAGCTTTATCGAGGCTTCATGTTTAGTGCAACAGTGAAGGCATCTCAGAGATTTGTTCCAGACATAAGAGTAGAACATGTCACAAGGTAAAAATCATTTTCATTTTTGTGTGATGGCGGTAGTCATCTGGCGTCTGTAACAAATGGCAGGTGGTAACATTTTGCATATTAATGCCTTGTTTCTAACTATCAAATACAGCTTTTGAATCATGAGATCATGGAATAAGAAAGAACTTATCTTGATTTACTTAGATATGATTTTATCCACTCATGGATATGGATATCTACATGAGTATAGTTCATATCATGAGTAAATCATAGGGTATTTAAATAAAATAGGGACCTAAACATTATTTTGTAGCAGCATTAAATATAAATTTTAAATACTGTACATCTTTTTTGAAAGACCAATGTCCAAAACCTTGCCAGACAGATGCAAGCACACCCACCACCACAGGAGGATGATAATATAGCAATAAAAAAATCCAATGCGAGTTTGAAATGAAAAGTAATTCCAAATATTCATCTTCAACAAAACCTCACGTTTGTATAAATTGTATTACAGAGGTCCCTCAGGTGTGAGAGCCCAGGCCTTAGACAGAGATGGAGGTCTGGTGGATGACTTTGTGTTTGATAGTGGGGAGGGGGAACTTGGCAGTAGGATGTTACACGTGAGGAACTCTCCTTCTCCCGCTGCAACAGCCTCTCTTGCCATTGGAGAGATGATAGCTCAGGAAGTGAAAAATAAATTTTTGGTATGAGAATGGATAATTGCAATAGCTATATCAACAGGAGCTTTAGAATGTCTCAAAATAATTCAGTGCTGGCCTTATTTGGTCATAATTGACTTAGGTATTATTATATTTGCTCAACAATCAATGACTGATGATTAAAAAATCAATGAAATTGGAATAGGCGTATATGGCAGTGGATAGACTTGATTGAACTTGGTTATTCAAAATGATTCAGAAATGCATCTTTGGCACAATAGTTAATAATGCCTGATAGTGTTCATAATATAGGTGCTCTCAATGTATTAATGAATTGTACATATTGTATACTACAATGCATAGTACTGAAATACTCAGAACCAATGACTGTGATAATAAGTTCCTATATATGTCTGTATATTAGACATAGGATGGATGAAACAATGTACCTTGCTTGGTTTCTTAAATGATATTAATTTTAATCTTCATAAGATTGTGTGCCATGTTCCCGACATTGAATGGATAGAATCCATGTAATATGAGTATATATGAGGGAATGTAACAACTGCTGCAATAATAATTTAAATGCACACTTTGTTCCACTGGTAAGTTTGCCAGTTTGTTGAATTTTAGTTTTGCATCAATTCTTTAGTGTACTTCACTCCCCCTTTTCACACTTATGTGAAAATAGATAGGAGGGATGGGTCACAAGATACTTGATGCAACTTTTATATTTTTTTTGTTATTTAGACTAGGTGTTCTATACTCGAGCACAATATTGCAGTATATAAATAATAAATTAATAATTTCAATAATGATTTACAAATTCATGTGTTTGTGTATTTTTATTCGTTTTAAAATAATGATCCATGTTTGTACATAGTAATAAAATGACATATCTATGGTACAACATTCTACAAGTCATAAAATATCTACAAATTGAATTGATCGAACTGTTGATAAATTCTGAATGGTTGGGTACTGGGTGACATTGAGATCAATTGCAAGTACAGAGTACATGAGTTGACAAAAATAAACCTCTTGAAAGAGAAATGAGTTGACATATTTGGAATAGTCTGGACACCAGTCAAATCCTATCTAGTTAGGTTCATTTTATCACCATCTATCACATAAATCCCTTGTATCCAACATAGGTGCCTCATCCAAGGGAGACAACCTCTAAACTATGTCCATATATTAAGTCACACTGTTTCAAGTTATTCACCACGTGAGTGATTCCATGATCTGAGATAAGTTTATTACGGATAATCCAAGTATCAGATGGTTTAAAGTACATGTATGTCCATATAAAGTCATGATCTGAGATGTGTATGTCCATATATGGTGTGGTATTATGTACAATATGATGTCACTGTAATATACACCTCTCCCTCTATTGTTCTGTCCCACAGTTTTCTATATCAAGTCAGCAACTGGAAAAAAATAAACATAAATTTCAATTCTGTATGACAGTTCAAAAATGCTTTTTCATTCAAACTGAAGAACATTTAAATAGACATTTTGCATAACAGTGCAGAGCAAATCACTGGATTGAACTTTCAAACTTGTCTAAACTGAAACCCACTGTGACCAGCTAAATGTATGGAACATGGGAGTTTTTTTTTTCATGTTATCGCTTTATTTCAAATAATAACATACATATACACAGTCAGTTGATTGCCAAAGTTTTACAACATTAGCGGCATGGGAGTCAATGGGAGAATAAAAATGGAACTGAAAATAGATGTTCACATTGATAGTTGTTTGGATCTTGCTACATGTTATAATATACTCTACTCACCATTCATAGGCATTTCATCTATCTGTGTGGAGTAGTACTGTTCAATATCCCTCAAGATCCTGATGTCATCATTCTTTACAAAGTTGATTGCTACACCCTTACGTCCAAACCGACCCGATCGACCGATTCTGAAAACAAAGTAAAACCAACATGAGCTAGTATTAAGTTTGGATCAAAGTACATAACTACCAGACCAATCCTGGAGCAAGTTAGTTCAAACTGGATTAACTGATCTATACAGCGGGAAAATAACGTGGCAAATTTGATGAGTAAGTCTGCAATGAGACACTCTTCAGTTGATGTGGCACAATATCAACAGATATTCTGTATTCTTATGGTCTTATCATATCATTTATATACTACACATTTTCACCATCATAACAGATTTAAACATACACAAAACAAATATCATTTTAACAATAATTCTGAAGCTAAATCATCTTTACCTGTGGATGTACAATTCTCTGTTGTTTGGTAGATCATAGTTAATGACCAGAGACACCTGTTGTACATCTAGTCCTCTGGCCCACACATCTGTTGTGATCAACACACGACTGAAATACAAAATGTACATACATGTGTATGTATAATTCTTGCACATATTTAAAGATTCCGAATTACATTAAAGTATACTGTATATTTCCATTGCTGTTTTTTGTTTATTGAGAGCAGCAGTGCAAGTGTTTAAAGGAGTTGCCATGGAAGTAGGCAATTTTCTCTAGTTGTTTTACCAAAATTGGATGTTGTTTTGAGGAATTTTGCTACTGTTTCCATGACAAAACTTTTATTTCCCTTCCAATAATTTTGGCAGTTGTTTTCACTAATGTTGACTGTTGAGTAAAATTCTAGGTATATGCTGTTCTACAAGTATGAATCTAGCATATGAATTATGCAATTGGTCATTCATATGCAGGAAACCGCAATTTGAGATTTTCTGTATAAAAACAACTTTAGAGACCCACCTTGCTCCTGATCTGAACTCCTTCATTATGGCTTCTCTCTCCTTCTGTGGCATGTCGCCATGCATGGAGGACACAGTGAAGTTTGCTTCCCTCATCTTTTCTGTCAACCAATCAACCTTCATAACAAGAGGGACCATTTTCATTAATCTCAGTTTGGGATGGTGGCAAAATAGATTTGCAAATGTAAATTAATCTTACTAGGGGGAGGTGGGTAAATGACAATACTGTATAAGTGGTAATTTGCCTATTGCCTAATTTTATCCAAATGGGAAGTTTCTTGTCATTAGGACAACTAAAAAATTTGACCATTCTGAAAATTAACCACTTAAATACCACCTATACAGTATTGTTTGGCAAAATATTGACCTTTTCTACAAATTTTGTGTGAGGGAGAGACAATCCAATTGAATACAACATTGCTTTAAATAACAATGCAGTAATTTTGCTCTTCCTCATTATCTGTGAGTAATCTAGAAAATATTCCTCACTAATTGTATTGATATCTTACCTTCCGTTTAGTATTGCAGAAAATGACAGCTTGTGTGATAGTGAGGGTGTCGTACAGGTCACATAATGTATTGATATCTTACCTTCCGTTTAGTTTTACAGAAAATGACAGCTTGTGTGATAGTGAGGGTGTCATACAGGTCACATAATGTATTGATATCTTACCTTCCATAATGTATTGATATCTTACCTTCCGTTTAGTATTACAGAAAATGACAGCTTGTGTGATAGTGAGTGTGTCATACAGGTCACATAATGTATTGATATCTTACCTTCCGTTTAGTATTGCAGAAAATGACAGCTTGTGTGATAGTGAGGGTGTCGTACAGGTCACATAATGTATTGATATCTTACCTTCCGTTAAGTATTACAGAAAATGACAGCTTGTGTGATAGTGAGGGTGTCATACAGGTCACATAATGTATTGATATCTTACCTTCCTTTTAGTATTACAGAAAATGACAGCTTGTGTGATAGTGAGGGTGTCATTCAGGTCACATAATGTATTGATATCTTACCTTCCGTTTAGTATTGCAGAAAATGACAGCTTGTGTGATAGTGAGGGTGTCGTACAGGTCACATAATGTATTGATATCTTACCTTCCGTTTAGTATTGCAGAAAATGACAGCTTGTGTGATAGTAAGGGTGTCGTACAGGTCACATAATGTATTGATATCTTACCTTCCGTTTAGTATTGCAGAAAATGACAGCTTGTGTGATAGTGAGTGTGTCATACAGGTCACATAATGTGTCAAACTTCCACTCTTCACGCTCCACTGCCACAAAGAACTGTTTTATTCCCTCCAGTGTCAACTCATCACTGGAACAAACATTAAAAGTTATAGATATGGTACATTATATTTATATACAGTTATCTCCCCATGGTATGCTTTAATACAGGAATTGAAACTTTACATGGGGCTTTTATCAATCTGTTTTCAAGCACCTCATAAACTAGGGGTTAATTGATTAAATGATTATACATGTACTAATTAATATTGGAAGTATAGTGTCAGTTATGCTCTCAGAAAGACTAATCATGACCTCTCATTGTATGTCATCATCATTAGAGCTGAGATTGCTCAAGATTGCTGTTTAAATTGATAAATACATGTACATGTATATCAGTTGAACATATATTTTTGATGGTTTAGAGAATGGGTAAAAAAAATTGTGAAAGGAAGCATTAGATGAGAACTAATCAAGATGATATCCCATCACTAATCACAAATCACAAATCTTTACTCTCTCATTCCATAACCTAAACTTACCGTTTGACAAGAATTCTGATTGGATCTGTCATAAACTTGCTGGTCATTTCTAGTATCTCATGGGGAAGTGTAGCAGAGATGAGGACAACCTGGGTGGCTGGGGGAAGGTACCTGTATACATCATATATCTGCTCTTTGAATCCTTAAATAAAGAATATGCAGATTATTAACACATGGAGACAAGAATATGCAGATTATTAGCACATGGAGACAAGAATATACAGATTATTAACACATGTACAGCAAGGAGTGAGTTGTCATCATAAGCTGAAATGATTTATTATAGATTTTACTTAGTGGAATGTGAGATGGAAGGTTTTAAATCTAGAGAAATACCATTTTAACTACCAATTTTAAACATTCCAAATGTATTCAGAAATTTTTCTGAACTTTTATTTCCTTTTAATTGCAGAGGGAAACAACCACTTTATTGCCAAACATGTATGTACACTGAACTATTTCTTACCTTTATTTAACATCTCATCGGCTTCGTCTAGGACCAACATCTTTATGGAACGTGTTCTTAAGTTACGTCTCTTGATCATATCTACAAATAGCAAAATATTGCTGAGGCTATATGAGATACAGAAGAATTTCGAGGTGGATCTGAGATGAGAGTGGGAGGGGTCTAAAGCTCCTGTCAGAAAGACTAATCATGACCTCTCATTGTATATCAAGGGTCAGAGTGTTATCATCATTAGAGCTGGAACTATGTGCCAACATTCGTTGTTGCCATATCATTTATTTACATTTATTAGTACTGTAATAGTACATTGTTTTGTTTCTATTTTATAAGGTATGAACTTTTCATGTCAACCCATTCAGTATATTTTCAAAATATTTATTTAATAGAAAAACTCACCAAATACTCTTCCAGGAGTACCAGAGACCACATGTTGGCCATAGTCCAGCTTGCGGATATCTTCACCAACGTTGGTGCCACCTATACAACAGTGGCACTGTACACTCATATAGTCGCCTAAAGCAAGGACAACCTGAAAATATGAGCAGGGCAATTAAATAAACAGAATTCAAATATAATATACAGTATATTGAGGTTATACATGATGGATAATATGCCTGAGTTCTGTCAATATAGGCCAGACCTACAGAGGCCTTGATATGGGCCAGAAAGAATGAATATTTCACTTCATAGTTACATAACTAATGTTTTATACTTTTCTTTCTATAGCAACTTTGTATAAATGACATCACACATCGGTGTCTGATTAGAATTTGGTAGAAATGAAACATGATGTCATCATGTTGTCAGGGTAATAAATGGGTTTGTATAGCTCACCTGCTTTTCTAAAGTATGGTAGGTATGTAATACATACATGACATCTGTATTTGAAATTCTGAACTTGGTGAAGTAAATTTGCTTTGACAAAAGTCTTATACTATAAAAGTTAGTGAATGATTTGAAGTGCCAATACAGGATATTGAGGGCAGAATATATCCTGTATTGCACTTCAAATCATTCTATAACATTTTTATCGTGTGATCTTAGGCCAATATATTTTACTTGGGAAATAATCCCTTGGAAATATTCTGTATTCTCTGTATTGCTACTGAGATTGACCCCTCCGTATCAATATTTTCTGTATTGCTACGGAGATGATCAATGAGGGCAATCTCAGTAGCAATACAGATTAGTACAGCACAAGAACTGACCAACCAGAGGGCTTCACTTATTTTGTAAATTGTAATTTGTCACTCTCAGAAAGACTAATCGTGACCTCTCATGATTTATCAAGGGTCAGGGTGTCATCATCATTTGAGCATCATTTGAGTTGTTCAGAAAAGCACATACAATACCCTTACCTTTTGTATCTGTCCTGCCAATTCTCGTGTGGGGGAGAGAACAAGGGCTTGTGTTTCCCGCACCTGGGTGTCTAAAGCCTGGAGTATGGAGATTGAGAATGTGGCTGTTTTACCCGTACCAGACTGGGCCCTATAAAGACACAGTATAAAGTATTAACAATAATTCTTTAAACCTCACCCATCCAAAATCATGTATAAATCTATATATAATTTATTATGCAAATAAATACAATTAGCCTATGAATTTCCAGAGAGGGCCTTGATATGAAGGGACTATTTCCTCTCTTAAAATCATCCAAGAACATGATATTACAGACAAATGTACTGAACTTACTGTGCTATAACATCCCTGCCTTTGCATATAGGTTTACAAATGTACTGAACTTACTGTGCTATAACATCCCTGCCTTTGCATATAGGTTTACAAATGTACTGAACTTACTGTGCTATAACATCCCTGCCTTTGCATATAGGTTTACAAATGCACTGAACTTACTGTGCTATAACATCCCTGCCTTTGCATATAGGTTTGATGGCTCTCTGTTGGATTGCTGAAGGTTTCTCAAATCCTGAAATCACAACATGGTAAATTCTACATCCAGTGATAAATAAATTTAAGGAACAAGAAATAAGACAGGGAGATTAGTGCAGATCAATTGAAAAACATTTTGTTCAAGTCTTTTATGGAAAAGTCGCTCAAACCCATCGGACACCCCTGGCACATGACCATTGTGATCCTGGTCTTGTAAATGATCCATGGGAGTAGTAGGGCAAAGGAGTGTAACGCCGACACCATTATGTGGTAACTTCGACATGTGGGGTAACTTCGCAACCTTGTTGTTTATTTGCTTTAATTTCCGATCAAGAGGGGAGCTTCTCTCGCATGGATCGAGATATTGCGAGATTTTATTTTTTCCAGAAATCAAACATGGAGGAAAACGGAAATTCTACTTCTAATAAGTAAGTGTCGAAGTTACCCCATGTCGACATTATCCCACACATCGACATTACACCTTTTTGGCCTAGAACTGACTGAAGGTCAAACCAGAACTCTGTCTATCTCAGTTAAAAAAAATCATGTTTTTTTTCATTTCCTGTTTGGTGTAAATTTCTATTAACTACCCAAGCACCTAAAGACGCTTTTCATGCCGTTCGATCATTTTGACCTTACTAAGAGAGGGAGATGCGGACCCTGTTCATGGAGAAAGAAATAATCCCTGAGGAGCACACGTCTGACCAAAAGTTACTTCCTGCGAAAGCTATTTGGATTTTGATATAATAGCTTTCCCACGGAGCATTTGGACAGCTCAATGATTGTGACCTTTGAAATCGAATTAAGTCGATCAGCGGCTTACTTTTGGTCTCTAACTGTGTCTTACATCAGTATCATCAATCCGTGTAAGTATTAGAGCGCTGAAATACTACTTTTTCGATCAAGACTTGTAAATTGTTCATCGAGTGAATGTTTTTTAGAACTATTTCCAATATGGCGGTTTGCTAGGAGCGAGATACGCAACGAAAGTAAAAACATTCACTCGACCATGGGCTTTCAATTAGAAGGGTATGCAACTCTGTGTTGTAAACATGAGACCTTCAAATGAACAATGCCATGCTTCCCCTTTTTGATAATATTTCAAAAAGTATTTGATAAATGTATATGTTTTAGTATTATTTTGAATAAAAATCAATTTTCAATATGATTAAAGCATAAAATATGTTCAGTCTCATGTAAAAGTAAACAAAAAGACCAATAAACTATCAAGATGTTCTCTTTGAGTATTGCATTGTGGGTAATTATTCAAGAACACATTCCAATAAAAACATAATTTGTGGGAGAATGTTCACTCTCTGTATTGTCATAATTATGATGAATTCCATTTTTTATTAAATTATCAACATGTATGTAGGTGATCACGTTTTTATATTTGAGTTATTTCTTTAAATCATCCCTAAAAAGTAAAAAATAAGATTTTCTTGGAATGTGTACATTCTCCAATTCTGAAAACCAAATAGGCAATGCTTATGTATGGAATATGGGAAGTTGCCTACCCTTCTAGTTGAAAGCCCATGACTCGACTAACAATTACAAGTCTTCTTGATCGAAAAGGAAGTACCTCAGCACTCCAATACTTGCACAGAAGGATGATAATGATGTATAGCATAGTTAGAGAACAAAAGTAGGTCGCTGATGGATTTAATTCGATTTCAAAGGTCACAATCAATGAGCTGTCCACTTCCCCGTTTGAGAGCCATAAGTTTCAAAATCTAACTTGGCTCTCGAAGTGAGTACTATTTTTTTCAAGGCCTGTCTGCGTCGCTAACATGCTAAATATAAGAGTTAGCTGACGTTTGGGAGTCTGACTTACCTTCTAAAGGTTAGAACCCGAATCTTAATGAAACCATATCACCTTTGTTCCGTCAACCATGGAGCATTTGCCACAACATCCAAGAGGTAAATCATGGATCGAGAAAATGAATGATTTCCTTGTAAGTTCCGGAAGTTTCAATACGAAAAATTACCGAACATATGTGAAAACCGAATATTTGTTCGTTGTTTTCACGATTTACAGGTTCGTTTGTTCTTCAATGTTTTGGTCTAAATTATAAAGCATCACCAACAGGTCTTTCTCTATTAATCGACTAATACAGCAGACGGCTCATATTTCTACGTAGCATTTCATTCAGACCAATAGTGGGAGTGTAGATCACGCAGTTTCGTTCGTTGCGTACTTCACTTGAAATTGGTAATTTTTAATATTGACTACTTCACTTAGCTTGGCGGATGTAGAACATTGCTTAATATTCTTTTAATTTTCACACCAGACATGCTTGGTTGACACGTCAACAAAGTAAAGTTCAAGGGTCAATGCGTTATTTCGTGATAACTACAACACCTTCCCGGAAGTCAACATTGATGAAAAATGAAAAAGTCTGAAAAGCATTTACGCTAATTTCTATCAAATGCTATGTTTATGCATCATCATCGACGCAACAAAGGTGATATAGTTTCATTAAGATTCGGGTTCTAACCTTTAGAAGGTAAGTCAGACTCCCAAACGTCAGCTAACTCTTATATTTAGCATGTTAGCGACGCAGACAGGCCTTGAAAAAAATAGTAAACCAAAAGCTGTTTACGGACCTGTGTGGATCTACATAAATTTGTATTTTGCCTTTACCTGGTTCCTATTAAGAATATTATGTTCCCCATTTTTCAAATAGATTCAGATTAAATGCAGGGATATCACTGCTATTCCATAAGTTTGAAAAAGTGTGAAATCAAAACAACGACGTTTTTTGGACGTCGCTTTGTTGGTGTTCACTTGAAAAGTAAGATGAATACCTTACCGTATGCATATATTCCACGAAGAAGATCTTCTCGCATACCCATTGAGTCGAATGTTGGAGTGATATCGACATCTTCACTGGTCTCAAACTCCACATTTTTCATATCATCGGTGAGCACACGTCTTGACGCCATTTTTCACGCTTGTAAATCTGCAGAAAGTACTTTTTGGTAAATAAACTTATATTGATTCTTCTTGTTATGAGCTCTTCGCTAATTCAACATATTCTCTTTTTATTGTATGTTATAAAATCAATCATATTTTTACAAAAAAAAACATTACATTATTGCATTAAAGTCCATAATTCTAAACTTATTTTATTTTTAAGCAATGGTTTTGTCATGACAATATGACCCGCCATCTATAATCATTAACAGCTGTCTTTAGGTGCTGCCACCTTTAGATTTCATAATTTTCAGTTTCGATTATGAAGTCATATTACACCACAGCCATTAACAAGGAAGCAAATGGGGAATTGTTCATTTTCCAGTTCCACTTGGAGTAAAAAAGTTTAAAACGTTGAGAACTGACCGTATGTGCATATGTTGTGGGACTCTCTTAATTGCTATATAGATGAATAAATTAAAGGTAGAGATATTGGTCAAGCCAGAATACTAAATAAATGTAAATAATAATGAGACACCTGACAAAAGTCTGACAAAATTTCTTGATTATTAAATATTGGATATGAAATAGTGGATTAAAGTAAAACTCTAATGGCATACAAGTACTGTATAATGTATATGTAGTTGGTCTTGTTGACATGCCTATTGATTTAACATGAAACTTGAGAGTTCAGTATTATTTCAGGAAACTTAAAAATCCTAAAACTTTTGAATAAAGGAAAATAACTGAACAGACAAAAGTTGGTTTAATAGGAAATTAAACAGAATTCAAATATGTCATCATCAGAGAAGAAAATGTTACATCCAAAATGTCACCACCAGCCATTTGTAACAGACACCAACTGCATAGCACCAACTGCTGAACACCAACTGCCATCCTCAAAGGTGGAGACCATATGAATATGTCAACACTTGCGATGGTGACATAAAAATGCAGATCTCAATAGCCACAATAAAAATGTTTTAAAGTAGTAAAAGTACACTGCATCATTTTCCTAAATCAGTTGGCAAAAACTATAAATGTTCTTCAAAGTATCATAAATCAGACTAAAGTATGAACAAGAAAGCATACATATATACTGACATTTAAGAAAATAATTTATTTTGTTATAGTGTCTTATGAAGACACATTCAAATACATACACATGACAACAACATGATGCATGAATGATTATACATACAGTGCAGTAATATAAAAAAATAAAAACATATATCATCAGATGTCATAGTGATTTCCAATAACTGCCATGGTAACAAAGTACATAAAATAACAATATTCTACTTTAGTATATGTAAAACGATTTCTAATCTTTCAATAAAATATAAAATCAAGATTTTTATATTAAAGGTAATCACGGAGGCAGAATAAATTTGGCATGGCCTGTGATCCCCTTTCGATTGGTACATGACCAGCATCAAAATTGTTCAAAAACATTCGGATAGAACTGTGAAATCCTAGCTTTCAAATGGTAGATAGCAAAACTCCCTGTGAAAGCTGCTTTGTGTTTGAACTGAAAATCCTCCTGGCTTTCTATTGGTGCATAACATCCTATCAAATATCATTGTGGAAGCCATATAATACTTTGATAGAAGCACCCTAGCTTTTTAATGGTATACAGTATCCTATAGAGTTTCTAGACTATTAAGGGTCACTTGGGAAGCCAAATACTTTAATAGTTCCTGCATCCCGGTCACGGTCATATTTGTCTTTATCATCACAGGCAAAGGCTAGGAGGTATTTCTTGGGATGCCATGCGCAGGTAAAAGTGGGAGACTCACATGGCACTTCTGCAACTTTCTCTCCTGAAATGTGGCGAATATAGAAACATATTAACTGATGTTTTACAGGTTTGTTTATATTTTGGATTGTAAGCTCTGAATTAGGAATAAATCAAATTCATTTCATAGAGTGACTCAAATCTTACTCGGACCATTCTCAAATATTTAAAAATTCAAAGCAATATGAAACTTTAATTTCATCAGTAGACTTTGTAACAAACTGATAAAAGCAAAGTTGCTTACATTACAATCAAATGTGTTGTTCTTAAAAAATTATATGACACAAATTCACTGCTTAGGTCTTAGTAGTTCTCATATTGCTATGTAAGCATTTTTATTGTTCTGCTATTTTTGTTGGGCCTAAGGAGGTTTATATCATAGATCATCCATTATGTAACAAGTGAAAGATTGTGAAAGAGTACAGGTAGCTTCTAAATTAATTTTGAAAGGTAAGGAACAGTAAAACCTGTCTTAGTGGAACACCTTTGGTACCTCTACAGTGTTCCATTTGGGAGGTATTCCACTTAGAGGTTCATTTAACATTAAGTCAGTTGGTCTTGGGACTCTGAAAATCATTCCACTGACAGAGGTGTTCCACTTCTAGAAGTGTTTCACTTTAAATGAATTGCAAACAAAAACAATTTAAGATCAAATTTCACTTATCACGAACACATAACATTAACTGGTATTCATGCATTATTAACTGAGGATGAACCAACACATAACCTTCTTGAGAAGACAATGGTAATTCAATATGACAATAGACAATGGTAATTCAATATGACAAAAGACAATGGTAATTCAATATGACAAAAGACAATGCTAATTCAATATGACAATAGACAATGGTAATTCAATATGACAAAAGACAATGCTAATTCAATATGACAATAGACAATGGTAATTCAATATGACAATAGACAATTCTGTTTGGTTATATCTAGGACATTCTTGGTTGTCTCACCTGTTTCACACTCTGCTATATCTATGAGAAGATCTTCAGAGGCTGACGCTAGCAACTTGCCGTCATGACTGAAACTGAGTGTTCTCACGGGCCAATCTAATCTACAATGTATGAAAGAAGAACATCATTCCTTTTCCCTATGTTTTTTTGTTAAATTACTCCTTGTTCGCTTTTGTTAATTAAAGGAAATAGGAAAGAAAATGCAGGTGATTCACACAGTCTACTGTCTAAGGCTTGGTTTTACATTAAATAGATTTTTGCTAAATATTCATCTCTTGGATCCTTATGAAACTGTTTCTTCTATTAAGCTTGGTCTTGCAGAATCTGCCCCCCCCCCTCCTCACTTTAATCTTACATGAGTTAAGTAGAGGGAAGCTAAGGTGGGCAGAGGTCAACAAGTTTTAAGCTGTTTAAGATGTCAGAATAAAACGTTTCTACCTAAACACTTAAGTACATACCTTGAAAGAGTTCTAACACAGACCAGTTCCTGCGCATCCCATAAGCTGACCAGTGCATCTGCGCTACCTGTTGCAAAGTACTTGTCCTTGGGGTCAAACTCTATACATATACAGTTAGCAGGGTGGGCCTGAAGAACATACTGCAGCTTTAAGTCAGGGTAACTTAGGATATTTATTGCACCTTGACCACTGGTCAAGAAAAATAAGTTCCCTTGCTTGTTCCATGAGATTTCATTCACTTCAAATTTGAATTGTTCATCGGAGCGTGCCTTGTGGCTCCTGAAGTCAATAAATGTGACGAGATCATCTTTGTTGCCGACAGCGATTGTTTGACCATCTGGTGACCAGCAGATGTTGATGTTTTCGCCTGGCAAAAGAAATGTAAATAGAAATTATAAACTATAGGCTATACTTGAAAATTATCATATTCATAATACATTTTCATCTAATTTGGATCAATTGAATGCAATACTACAATTGTATACCATTCAATTTTATAGAAATGCATATCACATACATTCTTTGGGTGAAACAGGGTGTTTAGATGTCCTTTTAGCACATACAGATTATTCAAACAAGGATATGTATTCTAAATACCCAACCTTATGACAATCAAAGCAACTAGACGTTCATGTTATTCTAATCTATACTCCATACCTTTAGTAGTTATAGTAGCTACAGATTTGTTTGCTCTGACGTCCCATATTCTAACCGTCTTGTCTCCGCTGGCAGTGGCAATGTGTTCTGTGTGTTTAGGATGCCAACATAGTTGGTCGACACTGTCTGAATGGCCTCGGAATGTCAGCTCTTTGTTCTAACAAAAATAAGAAATAAATATTTATAATTAGAAAATAATTTTGCTTATGTTGCTAGCATTTTGAACATTGTGTTGAATATATCAGTGGTACATCAGTAATCTTAGAGGACAGTTGCCTATTTTTGTGACTGATATTTGCCTCACATTCTTTATGAGGAAAATTTACTGGGATCTGTCAAACTTTGGTCTGTCATCTGATGTACTTCTTTGTCAATCAAGACTTGTAATTGTTCGTTGAGTGAATGCTTTTTCAGCCCAATTCCAATATGGCGGTTAAGTAGGACAGTATTTCCGGTCATTCAGAAAACCTCAGGAGATTTACGTAAAGTACCCAGCAAAAATGGCCATATTGGAATTGAGCTGAAAAAGCATTCACTCGACAAACAATTTCAAGTCTTGATTGAGAAAGAAGTACTCCAGCGCTCCGATACTTGCACAGATGGTTGTCATTAATGTATGACACAGTTCGAGACCAAAAGTATGCCACTGATCACATTAATTTGTGTTTTAAAGGTCACTATTATTCTGCTGTCCAGTGCGCAATAGGAAAGCTATTACATCCAAATTCACATAGCTTCCGCAGGACATTTAATCATGCAACATTCATATGACCATTTTCTGACTAAATGGCCCCCTACTCCGGACGTCATTGGATAAAATATGACATCATAGGACAAAACAGGACAACGTGGAACATTATTCGGCAGACAACATTACAGTGTCTATAGTCCATTTCACTGTTTAACTGCATCAGTAAAAGCTAAAAAATAAGAAATCAAAATATCATTTTGCAATAATATATGGAATAATATATTCCTATTGTACATGAATGACATTTGTATATCTTGGATTGCTTCTAGTTTGGCTTATAAAGTGTGTGGCCTCTTATATTTGGATGTTTCTCTGCCATGTTATTTTCAATAAGATTAACATGGCTGAAATTCTTCAAATTACAAGACGGTACAGGCTTATTGCACAAAACACTAAAAAATCTGAAATATACAAATGTCATTCATGTACATTATGAATATACTTTTCCATATATTATTGCACAATGGTCTCCCAATTTCTTATTTTTGCCGTTCTACTGACGAAATGAAGCAGTGAAATGGACTCTAGGATAAAGAAGAAGAAGCAGACAACCATGAACAAGTTCGAAAAAACAGACAAAGCCGGACAATGTCCCATTGGTGTACGGCTAGCTTTATTGGAATTAAACAATAAAACACAGAAACTGAGCTAGAATATCACGAAATATATTGTCATCCTCACCAATCTGTCCCTGTCCAGAGAATAAATGCTGACTGTCTTATCAAATGACCCGGATGCCAACCTCCTACCATCGCAATTCCACGCAACAGAGTGAACTTTGGCAGAATGAGAAGTAAGTTCTCGTATTTTGGAATTCCTTTTGAAATAACTGGACATCTCCTCACAGTAATTCGCCCTTTTCTGCATTTTTTGAAACTTTGTAAAATGTGCACCGACCGGAAGTTTGTTGAATCCAGGATAAAGCTTTTGCAAATTTTTGTTTAGGTCAAGATAAAAACCAATAAAAACTTATAAATTACAATAATTAGAATATTTTGAATATAAATTGCATTTTATATCATCAATAAACGTATTATGATGTAAATAATTCATATTGCGGCTATTTTTAAAATCAAAAATATCCATTGAGTTACCAAAATGTACACGCACCTGTGCTCGCTGCAGTCGATGTTTTGAGAGCTAAATTTGAACATTGTTAGAAATGCCGTGGAAGATGGAGGACGAGTTAAAGTGTGCGGTGTGTGATTCGTTCTACACCAACCCTATACTACTTCCTTGCACTCATTCAATATGCCTGGGATGCGCTACAAATATTCAGGTACCTATACACCAACTTCCAACACCATCTGAGGATAGTTCACCAAGTTTGGCAGAGTTGGATTTGACAGAAATTGACAAACTAAGTTTACTGAGTGAAACAGACTCAGGGGTTGTATGCAATACAAATAGTAGGCCAAACAGTTATGTAGGAACACCAAGCATTGGGAGTATATTCTTCAATTCAATACAAGGCACAACGCAAGGTTTGAATTGTCCGATATGCAAGAAAAACATTTATTTGGACGAAACTGGAGTTGCTGCATTGCCAAAAAACCGAAGTTTAGAAAACATTGTTGAAAAATATTCTGCCAATAAAGAAGTTTCAATACGCTGTCAGCTTTGCGAAGGATCTAGAAATGAAGCCAGTGTTATGTGTGAACAATGCGAGGTGTTTTATTGTAGCCCATGTCGGGAAAAATGTCACCCAGCCCGTGGACCTTTCCTAAAACACAGTTTGGTTCCTCCAGTGAAAGGAAAAACAATCATGCATGATAAAAATCGGTCCCGAGAATTAACATGTATAGAACATAAAGACGAACAGCTTAGTATGTTCTGTTTACTATGCAAAACATCAGTGTGTTATATTTGTGTGCAAGATGGACGTCACATCAACCATGACGTCCAAGCCCTTGGTGCCATGTGCAAATCTCAGAAGGTAAGTTAAAATCATCCTCACAAAATGACCAATCTCCGCAAATGATCAATCCCTATAACAATGGGCTATGATCATTTACCATCTCGGATTGGTTGATCCATGTCATTTGTATTCAGTGAACCACAGTTTCATTTTTAGTTGTGGAAAAGTTTTTTTGAAAATATTCAACCATTTGAGAAATATATTGTAACACTGTTAAAGTACTAAGATTGAGTTAACCATTTGTAAGTGGGAGACACGTCTATTGCATTACTGGCTTTGTACTATAATTCAGTTGTTATGTACCATTAAAATAACTAGATTTAGTACACTGTAGACAGGATTCAAGTCTGTGTTGATTTGAAGTCACATTGACACAACAGTTAAAAAATACATACTTGTACAGCTGCACTTAACTCAACATTTCATCACTTTAAAAATGCTCAAATATAATCATCAAAACATTCATGAGATTTTACTAGTTTGGTCATCATGAATTATATGAAAATGGCATGATTTTCTTATTTGAAAAGCTATGAGTTTGAATCACTTGAATCCCTGGAATTTCCACGACAAGCAAATTTGTTATAATTACGATAGGCAAGTAACTTTTTCACTACATTTTTAGTACCAAGTACCGGATAACCTGTTATTGTTTATAGGGCTTAACTGTAAAACTGAATAGCTAAATAGACGTTTACGAGGCTATAATTGGAAGTCATTACCCCGTGTTATCAATTAAACGTCACTGTGAAAAATGATGAAAAACCTAAAGTAAACCACAGGAGAAAACTGAGGCCAAAATATGATGGATGACTTTTGAGGGCAGACATGTCACTTCACCCTCGTCCATCTGCTCTGATTTAAACTTTAAATGCAGTCAAAATATTTGGACCTCGAAAATTATCAACAATTTGAACCAGATTGCAAGATGTATTTTCCGTTTAGATGGATGTGTTTTTTACCTATTTAACTGTTGGGTATTTAAAGTGTATTAAAATGCATCCAATAACTGAAGTACACATGAAATTGATAAGTCACGTAACTGTTAATTTATAACAATCAAAACAATCACTACTGTCTATATATTATTAAAACACAGGTGCACTGTAGTGTCTGTTACAACATGCACAATGTGTTAACACTACACCATACACTCACTGTATGATTATAGCTAGAGGCTAGAAGTGTTAATTTCTTTGGGTCTATGGCGCCAGCTTTCTGTTGATCTCTGTAACTTTCATTGTCTTCAGGTACTTCAGAGAAAATGAATTAGTTTTGCCAGTGATAAGACTTTGTTGTCATCTCTTTGTCAAAATCTCTTGGTTTTATTGGTTTGTTAAAGGGCTATAGGACAAGATTATAGCCTCCCTAAATAGCACTTAAAATCTCAAATGGATACTTGCATTTTTTAATTACATATATGTATCTGCATACTGCTAATGTAAATCTATATTTTACATATGATAGAGCTTAGAAGGTACTTGAAATATTGCATCTACATATATTTACATCTGCAGTTTGTAAGACATGATTCATGGCATAGCCAGAGATAGGTTCCTTAAAAACACACAAATTCATGTCATGGTAAAGTTAACGAACTACATATTGTATTTGTATATATACTGAATATGAGTTGCTAATTGGATGGTAGTATGCTGTATATGTTGATAGTGTGTTGTTATTTTGAGGTCCAGGGTGTCATGTTGTCCTATAGCAATTGCTGCACAGCTGCTCCTGTATAATATAAGGGACTGTCTCAATAGAGAAGTTTCTTAGCCCAGTATTATAATAGAGATGTATATTGTACATTCTAATGCTGTCCCTATTGGGAATTTTGCCACTTAACCACCTCCCATCCTTTTTAGTTTTTATATTATCCATGTGTTAGAGAGAGAATAGGGGGGGGGGGGGTATAAGATTAAACAGTCCCAAGAAAACTTGATTTGCACTTGATTTATTGATTTGCCAAATACAGAAATTTATAGACTCATATTAATCATACATGTACTGTTATTAACACCAGTATATTCCTTCAATCATATGGAAAACCATACTAACCTTTCTCATAATTTGATTTCACAGCTTTAAAAGACAGTTTCATCTACCGAAAGTATTAAGGGTATTGACATCAATATATCTGATACACCCAGGGGTCCTTAATCAAGGTGAATAATAATTACATGGTATAACTGTTGCAAGAAGCTTCCAAAGGAACATGTTGACTGATTCATACTTTTCTTTGTATACTCGTATATTTTTTATTTTGAATTCATGACTTAATAAATGTATACCGAATCACCGATAGATTAGGTTCGACTGAATAGTTCTTACAAGCAAATATTTTACTATTGCAAAAGAAAATATAACTCTTTTTTAGAATTAACACAGTGGTATTATGCATTATAATAGTTACTTTTTCACAGGAAAGTACAAAAGTCCAATTGTTATATCCAGACATATTCAAATCTTCAAAGAACTTTTTCTAAAGCCTTTAAATAAAAACCTGACTGGAGAAATCAATGACGTACTTATCCCGAGGCAGATTTGGGTGTATGGCGAACGTTTCTTCTCATGCTTTTCAAAATATAACAGAACAGAGATCAAAATATAACAGAAAACCTAAAAACATATAGCTGAGCTTTTCAATGTAATCAGTACTTAATACGGATGTTTTTAAACTCAAGGTGAAGATGAATCCTGAAATGAATAGAATAATGAAGTTATAGATGGTATTTTACAAACTTTCCCATCTAGATTAATGTTTGATATAAAGAAATGGGGAATGGGTGTGCAAAGTTTCTGATTCGTTTTTTCCTCTTTTTATAGAGAATTATATAGAGAAAGAGGGAGAGAAATTGGGTGTACATTTATGAAGGTTCTGATTATTTTTCTTTATAATTTAAAATCATGACTCAATGGTTATCAATAAGATAAACTGTAAAAAGTATTAATTGAATCATCTAAACACAAAATGGAGATAAGAGGAAATGCCTTCACTTTGTCGTTATTTTGAAAAGGTTTGAGAGTTCAAGTTGATTTACGTTATCTAGTTGTTAATAGTAAACCTCCATAAATAGTAATTTAAAAATGTAGATTTTAAATGTTAAACGTAATCTAACGATTTTTCAGTTTAAATCAGTTTCAATTTCAAATACAGTGTAATCCATTTCTAACCATGTAATTGCCCAATCACTTGTCTATAATACTTTATCTGATTAAACACTTGAATATTTTCAACAAACTTTAATATTTATATGTATTACGCCCAAGGTTTGCTTTTAAAATTTCAATTGAAACTTCCCGTTGAACCTTACAAAGAGTTCTTGTACGGGATAACACTAGTTTAAAAAATCAAGTAGATGCACCGATTCAATCATTTCAAGTTACTCTCTTTAGTATATCGGCACGCTGAACATGTCATTCAAAAGCATCAATTCATAAATATGGTAGATACGTATTTGAGTAAGATATTAAATACTATATTAGGTAGCTATAGATTTCTTGATATATACATATTTGATCTTTTGTTAGTCATTTATTAAAGTGTTCCCAAGACAATGGACATCCCTTAAACTGATGAATGCTGAATCAATGAGGATGTTCACAAGATAAAATTTCAAAAAATCAAAAAAATCAATTCATGAGTTTGAAATACAAAGCACTACTTAAAACCCCAAAGTAAAGATTGATAAAGAGACAAAGAGAAAATGGGCTGTTTTGTTTACATTTTGTGATTAAAATAGTTTTTCAATTTTGTCATTGATCTCAATTTTCTGTGTATTGGCGTCCTGTCTCCTGAGTTAGGGGATAGGTGTTAGTATATTGAATGGCTTTTGTATCTTTTAGCTCTAATTTCCTTCACTTTGTTCATTTGTTGACTATGCTTCTTTTTACTTTTAAATGAGGCTTTAACTGAATCAATATTCTCCTAGATTTTACGTTGTACCTCCAGGCATGATCTGTGATGTGCATTTTAGTGATTTTTACATGTAGGAAATAGTTTCTGCTCGACTTTCTGACTAAATAAGTTCCTGATCTTGTCAAGGGCCTTGTCAAGGCAGTTAATTGATTCATGTGGTCGGAATGTTTATGTAATTGTTGTTGTAAAGACAATGGTACCTTTCTTACAACTTTCTTTTGTTCTGGAGGTCCTATTATTTTCAGAACTCTTGTGGTAGGACTACTAGACCACTTCAACAACCTTAGATAAGCCAACATTTCCTTCATCTCTCAATTTGGGTGAACTATGTCACCTTTCTTTGAAGAAACAATAACACTTGACAAAGTTTACAACCTGTACATCTGGCAGAAATCTGGAGTTCCTACTTACATGTACAATTTTCGTGACAACTATATCCCTTAGTATAGCATATACAGCAGGGAAAACAATAACAAAAGTTCTTGAAAGGAAAATTTGTTTGAGAAAATTTTGATTTTAAATGGAACAGTTGGTTAATCCATGTAGATAATCCAAATAATCTGTTTGATTATAATTTTTCTTTATTATACATCAAACTTAACATATGAGGTGTTGTTTGTATAACTTTTGAGAGAAACTTGTGAATTGTAACTATTCATTCAATCTTTGTTGTTACTACGAATTAATCAATTACCAAAATACCAATCAACTCTTTTCTCACTCAATTTTCTCTTTGAAGATTATCCTGGAAATTTGTATATTAGATTATCACGGTTGGCAACTTTTCCAAATGTGTTGGACGTAATCCTATCAAAACTTTGATTTCCTCTTTTGTCTGTTTGAATAGGGTTCGTTCACCCCCTACCTTGGAGTTGACTAATGCTATATAAGTAGATAAAACGGTTAATCTTTCGAAATAGACATTTCTATATACAAGGTCGAGTATCATTTCTTTGTCACTGCCTTCCCCTCCTGTAGGCAATACATCTATCCTCCTGATGTATGGAGGTTCTAATGTCCCCTGTAGACTTCTCTTCTTTGAACTTTGCAATGTTTTAAGCTCTAAATCACTTTTTAGGTTGTGGGCATGGACCAGTTG